ATTATGAAGATGGCCAAATATGGACAAACACGCCGATGTAATTAATTCTTTTAAATTTTTGCTACATTTAGTATACCTCTTTACGGCATCGATAATGATACAGATAACACTTGCATAAATAGACGCTGCAACTACCGAGTATGAAGATACTGCTTCAAGGAAGTTTTTCTAAATCTACTTTCTAACCACAATGTTTGAAAATTCAGAAACCAGAAAAGCTGTGATTCTGGACTCTTTCATGCTGTAAGATCATGATATTACCGGTTTACCTTCACAGCGTTTCTAATCTGAGGAATTAGAGCGTTTTCCTCTTCAACGTACGGATTTGCTTCTGTATCGAAATGAATCGCGATCATGCCGGTCTGAAAACTGCTTCTGGCACGTCCCTGAAGGGTTCGCATTTAAAGCTTGGCCTCGAAAAATTTAGTACCTTCCATAGGTTCGACACCACCGACTGGGTGACTATCCATAAGTATTGTTTCCCAGTTAGTCCTAGCGCATTCGCCATACGAAATATTTGGTCTGCTTCATCGTTTGTGCTATACAAAAGAAATATTCTCGCCTCTGACTTTGCCAGGCGGTCCATTTGTCTTCGAAGTGAGGTGATGTTTTTGGTATTGATTTGAACTTCGATGACTATTTCTAGCCTGAAGAACTGTGAGTTAGCAAATATAAAATGGACACATTTAGATCACAGACGTATGGAAATGAAAAAGGGTTGATAATCAAATTATACAGGAAGCAATTACTGGCAAGTAAATTTCTTACCATTGAACGCAGCAGATCCGCAGGCCAAAATACTCCTTAAAATGTAGACCCCTGCAAAGCGTAAGTATTTGAAAAAGTAATACGTTTCAAATGACCTCAGACTTTCCAATGCTTCAATACAAAACTAAATTGTGGCATACTACAATAACAAGCTGGAATTGGGCTTGTAAACCTTAGAATTTAGTCGTTGGAATATTATTTTCTGTGCCAACTTTGATTTTCAAGCTATAAGATCATTCAATCCTAAGTTGCCTTCCTCTCAGCTGATGGTGTACTAAAGTAGGGGACTGCATTACAAAGAATCGTACTATGGAATTTACATTCCCAACAATTTATTGTAGTCATGTCGTTCTGTCATGAAACCTGAAACTATTGTCACTAAGGTAATAAAAACCAGGTTTATGAGAACTCATTATGCCATTAAAATACATCTGTATGAAAGAAGATCAGTCAGGCTTCAAACCAGGATGGAAGGAATGGAGCCAGGGCAACGTACCGCCCACCGTCTGGACAGAAGATAACAAATTTTGTAAAGGATGTGCGGAAGAACCACGAAGTGCTTGCTGGATGATATATCGTGTAGTTCGAAAATTGCATTCTTCTGCCATAGTGTGAAAAATTTGGCACAAAAATGCTATATAAACACCTCTTGTATCACGTCCTACTCCACACGAAGAGAAAATAATACTGCTCATTATTTTCGGCAATAAATATTTTTCTCTATGATTGATATTTCAGTCAGCGATGCACTATGAATATGTTAGATGCGTGTGAACTGCAGCGAAGTAGAAACGATTGTATATCCTCGTCTGCTTTACGTCCCTGTATGCATCATTAGCCACACTGAAACAATGATCATCTGTGCCCACAGTGAATGACGCAGAAAGCCACTGCTCAAATATATTCAGTAAAACGCAGCGCATCTTATTTTATCGCACTGCAATATACACTCAACAAAATTATTGATATATCCATAAGTCTGTTGGGGATCTCGAAACTTTTGAAGAGGAAGAGAAAATTTCTACCTACTGTAACAGTAAGTGATTTCGATGTTCAGGGTTCAAGATGAAACATCGCCGAAGAACATGAAAACTGTCAAGCATGTTGAAATCCAAGTGAAATCATACATTCATATTTGTGAATCAATCGAATATACATATTTTTAAAGAATCTACTTCGGCGTTATAAGTGGGTGTCACGGTGGACTCAACTATCTTCTCTTTATAAAGTTGAATCGCAAATACCGGCATTCAGTCAATCCAGTGAAATTCGCAATGAATTGAAGACGATCAAAGACACCACAATGATATATTATTTTATGGACCTTTAAATATTTGTCCAACGAACTTTCCATAAATTGACTTTTAATTAGGTGAATAAATTAATTCAATTATTGCAATACCAAACGTCTGCATGACGTAATGCAGAGTTGCAAAGCGTACTAACTTGAAGAAGCAATGTTACTTGAAAGCTGACTATGAGTAACGAGAGGGCAGAATATTAAAATGGGAGTTGCGAACAGATTCAGAATGTGGGGTGGACAAATTATAACTATTTCTAAAAGAAATCAACTCTTGAGCTACAGAATGGCATTGCCGTTGATGAAACGAAAGCTTACTTGAAAAGCCATGGTGTCTTTCTTTCTCGTTGCCGACAAAGTTCGATGTAGCTGTCTTTGCCAGCTATTTCGGAGGTGACCACGGCGAACTTGTGCCAATTGTAACGCTGTAGAATTTTGACCATCGCCGCGATCTGATAGTCGATCGACGGTGCCATTTGCAGAAGTCGATATTTGTTCAGGTTCTATACAAAATCAATAGTAACACAAGCGACCACCGACCGACCTGTCGGTTGCAAAGATCTTGGATCGTCGCCTACCCCGTTGATCGTCAGTCCGGAATTATCTGCGTTCCATGCGATGATCGGGATGCCGGTGTGGGAAGCCAAATGGATCAAGTACTGCGCAGAAGCTGTGCTTTTGCCATACGCTTCCCAATGAGCGATGTATATGATGACCGATACCTGACAGAAACCAAAAACGAATCAAACTTGGTGGTAAAAAATGCACGGAAGTGAAAGGGCTTGTCTGATGCTTTCTGTCTAAGACATAAAGCCTAAATTATTCATTAACCCCATTCCGGCTACTCTGTTATTAGTCGTATGGAAATACTGCATTGCAGTAGTTCATCTTTTGCGTTTCTGATAGATACATAATGCGTGTAAGCTACAGGAGCAATATTGTATGAGAAACTGTGAGGGTAATTTCCCTAAACTTTCTAAGTGATAGTGAATTGAGACTAATCAATAGGTTTTTTCATAACCTTGTCAAAATGCTTAGCTCGTTAAATAGC